TGTTTTTCGACAGTCATTTCCAGGCTTACAGATTGGAATAGAATGAATAAATGTATGGTACTCGTAAAGTAACAATTCATCAAATGTATTCACATTGTAATTCAATAAAAGATATTACTCATAATCCTCAAATAAACCTTCTCGTGAAACCTCGATCGGACTTGAGGTACGTTTGACCATATCCCTTAATCAATAAACATCTAATAATCAAATTCGAATGATATATGTACGATTCATTTACAATATTTCTGTTTTCTATTTGTACTTGTTTCAATTTTGTTTTTCATCAATCGAATAAAATCTTCTACCTAAACATTTAGGATTTCATAATATCAATTTTATTGTTCTCTTGAAAAGGAATAAAAAAAGAAGTATTTACAAGCGAATCAGAAGTGAACAACAGTGAAACTGACTGCATAATTGATTCTTGATTTTTTTCTCTGACACCTCTAAATTCCCTTTCTTATTTAGCGTTGGAGAAGGTAAAAAGGTCGACTATTTCATGCGAGAAGATTTCATTTTGAAGACTATTAAAAATACAAATAAATTTTATCTTTTCAATTACTTGTTCTTTACTGTTGTTTTTAAATATAGAAACTGAATGTTCTTACCAAGATTTAATTGAAAAATAAGTCATAAACATTGAGCAATTTTTGTATACATGTAAAATATCATCTAGAAAAATAAATATAAAAGAACGTCAATAATTGTTGTTGGCGCATATACGATGTAATACGACAACATAAAAGATTAATTAGCGGTCTAGTCAATACTACAAGATTTGTTTTTTTTGTCACTCTTAGGAATACTTGTGATCTTTACGATTGATTGCTATGCAATCAATTAAAACCATCAAAAGACCACTTTATGTAGTGAGCGGGATGTTAAATTTTACAAATAGAAATGAAATTCATTTGATCCCGATTGCTTACCAATTGTCCAATTATTACGAATAACAAAAATGACTATAAATAGCAATGATTTTTTAACGTTAGAAATCATTCCCCTCTTTCTTCTTACATTATTATATGTATATGAATATTTTATTTTTTAACTATTTTAGCTTGTATTCATACTGACCACTGTTCAATATCACAGGTAAGTATTATAGTTTTAGCTTTTTAACATTTTTTCGTTGTTTCAGCTTTTCACCCCATTTGTTTATTATTATTTCAATTTTTTTATATGATAATGATTGTTTTTCTATTATCTATTTTAGTAATACAAAACAAAGTAAGTATACTTTTGTATATATGTATATATATTACGTCCTACGGAGGCCTTCCATACATCGGCGTGAAACTGGCCAAGCCTATATTGGTGCCCATAGCACGTATAGGCCGCATATAGATCTTCCTGTTGTATGTTCTATATACGCTATATCTATGCCTGTACGTGAAGAGCCTTGGCTCTCTATGACACCACCAAGGTAGTTCTTGGTCGCGCGAGCAACTATTGGCTGGTATGCAAAAAAAAAAAATTTTTCATACCAATCAATTTATTTCTTTTCATTTAACAAATAAATAAATAAAGGAAGAAGAAAAGAAACGTATGACGTAATTTTATATTTTAGCGTTTTTCTTTTCTTTGAAGCGAAAGAGTAAAAGAAAATTGCTTTTTCTTGTTCATTTATTTCAAAGTATAGAAAAAGAAATGAACAAAGAAAAAACAATTCACAAATCTTATTCGATAGAAAATCGTTGAACACGATGATTATTTTGATCGACGACATAGAGATTACCATATCGATCGAAAGACAAACCAATGGGGACTTTGAACTGATTTACTCCTTTTCCTGGACCGTTCCCACCCACAATTACAGTGCCTTGTTTCTTGTCTCCTAGAGTCCAACGCATTACACGATTATTCCCCTCGTCTGCTACATAGAGTGTACCCAACGTATCAACGAAGATTCCTTGAGGATAATACAATTGTGTCAGAGCATTTCCTTCGCCTTGTCCTCCAGCGACCACAATACCTTCTTCTGCACCTTCAACCCATTTCATTACACGATGATTTCGTTCGTCTGATACGTACACTGAATGATCTCGATCGACAAAGAGATATGTCGGGTAGTTGAGTTGATTGAGTCCATTACCTTTACGATTATCACCAGCTACGAGAGTACTATTGTTCTCACCCAATTGATATCGTCCTACTTCATGTTTTTCTTCGTCAGAGATGTAAAGATATCTCTGCTCATCCATTGTTAATCCCCAACACCAGATGTAGTCGATGAGTATTTCACCTTGTGTTGTACCACTACTACGAGACCACCGTACAACTCGTCGATTCCCATAATCACAAATAATGAGACTATCCGTCTCTTTGTCAATTAATACATCAGTTGGAAAAGCCAATTGATGCAATCCATTTCCTTTGCCTTTGCCACCAGCAACAACTTGTCCATTCGTTGTATTACCGTTCTTCCATTGCATGATACGATGATTCGACGTGTCAGCTATGATCACTGTTTGATCATCATCAACGAAGAGACCATAAGGCTCGTTGATTTGATTAGTAGCACCTCCTTGCCCGTGGCCTCCAGCAATAGTCACACCGTTTTGCTTCCATTTAGCATTAGCAGGAATATTAACTAGAAGAGAAAACGTAACAATAAAAGGAGATCTCTCTCTTTCTCTCTCTCGAATATAGCTAGTATATGAAATAATTTTAAAGTATCGAGCAAAATTCTTTGAATAGATCGTTCTCTCTCTCTCTCTCTCTCTCTCTCAAGCGTATTTAAATTCTATAATTTTGTAGAAAATCAAACTTAAATAATTAAATCTAGTTAACCCAAGCAGACATTAAAAAGTCATTCAATCGGAGTTTCAAGTGATAAACTCTATTTATTTTTTCTTTCTTTTGTGAAAATTATATAAGACTGATGTTTGCAAATTAGAACGTATCTAATATTAAGCGATCAAAATGAAGAATAAATATTGTGTTATGAACCTTTGTGAAAATATTTAAATTATTTGTTAAATGAACTTGTCAATTTTGTATCCGTAGACACATAATATACACTAATTGTTTTTTGTTGAAATTCTATAAATTGGAAAATCGATCTCAAATAAACTGAAGAATTTTTAAAGTTTGATAATTTACTCATTGAATTTCAAAAGAAATCATTTTCTATAAAGTGGAAAATCTACAATAGATTGCAGATCATTTAAATATCAGTTCTGATTTCATAGAAAATCGATTGAGAATTTTTAAAAACGAAAAAAATTCATTCTATTTCCTCCAAGATTGCCGAAACGAAGACCGCCAAATAGTCATTGTCCTGTCTTAGTATATAAATCAGTAGGTATAATGTTAAACATTCATTATATTTTGTTCAACTCGCCATTAGGAATTGTTAGATCTTTTTTTTCATTTTATTTTTTGACTATCATTTAAGCGATCAGTAGAATAAATGAATGATCAGTACATTATTTATGTGGTCAGTTATTAATATACTTCGATTTATTGATATATTATTTAAAAATCAGTAGGTTAGATTAAAGGATCAGTATAAAAATTGAAATGTGTTATAACGTGATTTACTTTTTTTTCATGTTTGTTCTTTTGGTCTCTATATATCGTAGAGCTGATATAAGTACAACATATATAAATGTACTCTTAGCTTCTTTCTTTTACATTCAGCATAGTATTAACGAGTAAAAAAGATGGAAGTCGTACAAGTTGCTCAATATGAAAGAGTGATATATCAGGCAAAGAGGCTCTGGAAGGAAATGATGGAATAAATGGAAATCAAAGAATTCCAAAAAAAGGTGTGGGAGTAGTGTAGATGAGCAGAAGTATCACACCCACACCCTTTAATATCTCGAGTACCCGTCAAGGATCGAAAAAACGTTTTTTTCAGATTTTAGTGCAAGTACTTATATTTCGATAAAGTTAAGTTTCCTGATCACAAATATCATCCTAGATTTTAAAATTTATTGGATACTAAGAAAGATCTGAAGCACTCTCGGGAAGACTTAAAAACAGCTATTGGCCCAAAGGTCCATGAATACTTGATTTATACTGTTTGAAAGTAGGCTCGTTCGATGTAGAATGTTTCTCTCTGATAATATATAAGAACGCTTTAGATATTCAAATCTTTTTTCTATCGATAAATGACAAATATCACCCCTATCGGATCGTACATATACAAATAATGCTTATTTACTCTGATTAAGCGTAGCTTTTCGAGGTTTATCAGAAAGATTTTCTTAGCGGATACGTAACTGAATGTGCTCTTTCTAATAAAACTGTTGTCAAATTGAAACTGGTTGTAATATGAAGCGTTTTCTCTCCAATGCTACTCTTGAAACCGGATTTCTGTCATTTGTGGCTGATATTCCATAGTTTCAAACAGATTAATTCTCGCTTGACTGAATATAAATATTATATTTGTTTTAAGTGCAAAAACTAATTCGGTTTAATTATTTCTACAACTTTTGTTTTCGGTCACATTTTCACCTCTGGTCCCCGTCATGGGTAGCGAAAAAATAAACTGACTCCAAAAGACATCTGGACAATGTTAAAAGTTTCCAAACTTTCGGAATGATGTTTGAGATAAAGTAGATCAATTAATAATCAATCAAATAGTTGTTTTGAATAAAATATTTTGTTTTCATATAA